AAATAAAATATTGATTACCAAAATTCAAGATAATTTATCTTTCTATTTTCCAGAACAAAACCGTTGATTATATTATTAATATAAATTGTTGTTTAAACTTAAGCTAATTATCAATTCCATCTTACCATCAGCGTCTACCTCGTTAATCATGTCCTGTAGTTCAGCTTTCTGTCGGGTTCTGACCTAGTGACCTCATCACTGTTCCCAATTCAATTCTTTAGTAACATTTCTTTTGAATATGAATATCAGTCATATTCTTTCTCTGAAACATTTGTTTCTTCTAATAAGTCAAAATTTACTTGTAGTCCATTTTTACGAACATGTGTTGGCCGAAGTGCTTTAGGGAAAATGTATTTCAAATAACTATAAAATCTAATTTCAGTGTTGGCAATCATTTTGTTTTTTGAAAGTCTGTTTCATTGTAAACAAAATCGCTCTATCACCGGGCAAACATGTCAGATATTTTTTTAAGCAGTCGAATGTACATGTTAGGTTTAAGTGAGACAACCAATGAGGTATGACCATTTTGTAAATTTGTAAATTTAACAGTAGTGTGGATCACAGCCACGAATTTAGTGGAAAATGCACATTGATGACGATATTAGATTATACATAGCATTAACCTTTGCATACGTCTCTTGATAACGTCTTGGTGGTAAGAAGGGCTCGACAGTTTAGTTAGTATATGATTGTTATGTGACGGAGGTATTTACACTCGATGACACCTGTACTCAGTTTCATAAATTATAAATCCTAGTAACAATGTAGCAGTACAAGCATATAACCAAAATGACGTTAAGGATTTTGAGAGTTGAATATTCTGTACTTATACTGGCGGTACGTAAATGTTGCAATAATCTAGATTTTTATACTTACAAAAAGAGTCTAAGAAAGAATTGTAAGCACAGTATTCATAATTATGAAATTGTCTCCGAGGTAGAGTGGACAGACTGATATTTATGTATACATGTCCCAGCTGATTTGTTACTACAAGTATGATTTCTTGCAAAATGTCTGAAACTGACAGATAGTCTCAAGACAATGAGTCTTGGGAGATGTAAGGCGATGAAGATTGCGATAAAATCTTATGTTTGTCATAGTGATTGCTTTGGGAAGAATTATTGATCTTTTGCGATGTGCCGTTGGACGTGTTGAATGTCTGATGTTTAGTTACTAGGTGCCTGACTTTGATTTGAGATCGCGGCATTACTTACTTGAATAGACCAATTAACCAGATTTAGATGATGGGTGTCGTCGATGAAGTAGAAGGCGCTTACTCTTCCGGAACATCCGGTTTTATTCTCCTTCTATTTAGTTATTATTCTTTTCCGTTAAAATATATCATCAATTCACTGTTTATCCCTTGCCTCATATCATTTTAGCTGGAACTATTGTTCTTTTGGCATGACAATTATTTCATACATACAATGTATGTACAGTTAAAATCCATCAAGTATTATTCATTATGTGTCTCAATAGACCTAGAAACAATAGATACTAACATGATACCACATATAATATGGTAACAATGATCTGATGTCTCGCATTAAGACTGGCAAGAGTGGGTATAAGGAAAAGAAATTTGTTAACCCCTATATTACCGCTTATGTCAAGTCCTGATTAAGACAAAACCTGATTGATATGGGCGAAATTTAACTCTGTGTGAAATGATTAGTATAAAGAAGTAAGCGGTATAGTTATGATCCATGTCTAAGTGGTATGGCAAATATCAATCATGGAATGTAATGATTAAGATAGAACTGTAACTGATATGGTTAGGATAAAATCATTTGAGATATGATGAAGATAAGCAATTGGTTAGAGTGTATTTATGGTCAATATGAATGTAATATGAGTAACTGATAAATAGACTGACGTCAGTTAACACTGTTCAGTAGTGAACTTATCACTGATTGTAATCAATATGATGATCATACAAAGAATGTTATACTAAAAATTGAAAATACCTTTTGTCTTTTTGATACTTAATGTTTTTGCTTGGTTTTTTTTTTCTTTATATTGATTTCTTATCTAACAATTAAAAACAAATCTTCTATTTATTTAGTATCTTTATTTTCTATATCTTTATTTTTATTTTTTTTTTCATAAACTGAAATTCACAACGTGTTTTGCATGTCATAACATGTACAATGATAGTTAATGTGTTTGCTTTTTTTATTTTATTAATTTCGTATCTTACAATTAAAAAAATATTCTTTTATTTATTGAGTATCTTTATTTTCTATATCTTTATTTATCTATTTGACTTTTTTTCAAAAACTGAAATTCACAACGTGTTTTGCATGAATGTCATAACATGTGCAATGATGATGAAAATCCTGTCCTGTAAAACCATTTATTTTATTCGGACGGGATTATCATGATTAAAAACAGCACACACTTTATCATCAACACTAATTTTCGGTTGATGGAATGACAAAACAAAATACATCCTCCGCTAGATTTACTGATTTTTCAACATTTGTTTTATTATTAAAGTATTTACTTCTACCGCTTGTTTTTAAAACTCAAAACGGTTCATTGAAAATAACCATTACAGGATATTGACCGTATTGAATACGATCGTAACAGATGATTCATATCATCAACACCATATCTTGATGTGTTGAAATAACCACACGTACTTGTGCATTGCCCAGCCGTGTGCTTCACAAAATACAACGCCTTAACCCCTAGCCAGGAAAAAAAATGCGCAGTCACTTTACCTCGCTGACAAAACCATAAATGGGGCGTTTCGAGATCAATTTGTGATGGATATTCCATGCTCTTACCAAAAAAGTAGTTTCGAATCGTCAGTAATTTTATATGAATTTCCAAAACACAATAGACGTTAATATATATGTATATTGATTCGATTTATGCAGATATTCTACAGTAAACCAGTTACGATCGATAATCCATTGTTGTTACATATACCACAAGTTCCCTATATATACAACATTTGTTTCATTTATCAAAAGCCTATATATTCTAGGCTATTATTATGGGCTTTTATAATTATAATTAACAATAATTCATTACAGTAGCTGACATATATATTAACCTATGTTCATTATCAACATATTTCATACTTTCACCAATGATCATAAAGAACGAGAAATATGTATTGTTATATTTGAATGAGAAAATTCCTCACATGTCATTGGTCAACAGGTCATTCATCCATTTCAAAAAAGCAATGTTAACATGAAACTGAAGAAGTTATCTTCGCAAATTGATTGATAATCTAGATTAAGAATAGCAATGACCCTATTGTTCATGTTCATTGTTTATATATGAAAGTACAAGACAGATTTCTTTATGTAAAAACTGTATAATGATATGTTGCCAAGGATTATTGTTGGACTTACATAAAGATTTCATTCAAATGAGAGTTTGTGCAAGTTACAAATTAAAAGACAAATGATTTAGTTTTTAAAGCAAGTAAGTGTGAATAGAAAAGTATATGATATAAGTACTACCCAGTTTATATTGGTAATATATTGAGGTATATGTTTTCCGTTGTCATTTGAAAGCAATAATAATAATATTTGATTATTGCTTGAAACAAAAAATACTGTTTGATGATTCGATATCATATTATCAAAACCCAACTCCAAATGTTCAAATCTAGTAGCACATGTACCAACCTGCACGAAAAATACTCGTTTTCTCCCCACAGTAAGAACCTACTAGCACATTAACGCAGACAAACAAGAGCTATGAAATAACTCAAGTATATTTCTTTGTTTACGTCTTAAAATAATAAAATCTTTCTACTCATTGTGAATCTGAAAAGCTTGTAGACACATAATGAGTGGTGGTTTAATGGTCTATTGCCTAAGGGTGTAGCAAATTATAGCAGATATTTTCATTGATATAATAGATGTCCTTACACCAAAACCATTACGAATACTATTATTGTGACGTTTCAATGAATCAAATATAATTATCCTGACTGACTGATTTTATAATGTTCAAGCCACTTCCAGAGTTACGTCCCTTGTGCAGCTCGTATCTGTGTTATGTTGTGTGCTTTGCATTCGTTTTGACACCCCCCCCCCCCTCACCCAACCCCCCAAAAAGACCTTTCTATACAGATCCATAACTGCAATATCGTATGAATGTTGTAGTCTATCTTTGGTGACTGATTTTTTTTCAGTATTTATGATGTCAGAGGTTAACATTGCAATCAGGGTACGATGGATATCAGTGTAGTGTTATCTGTTTTTCCACCTCAAATCTTTGATAATTCTGAATGGCAAAACCAAAGAAAGGAGAAGTTAAACATTTCTTTCTCTTTCATATTACCGTAAAATTTGAATTATAATGTATATAGGAAAGATTAAAAACAACACATGCACATGTATGACAAACATACAAAAACAATCCGTACTCACTAAATATAGGGATAACAATAATTTAATAAAAATATGTTTTTTTCTTGTTGTACAAAATTTATGAACATATCAAACGTAGTTTATTTCATTTAATAATGTTGTTAGGAACACGTCTTTTCGATAGATCTTTTCGTCTTCTTTGGAGATATGGTTTTAGGGTCAGATGACAATTATGAAATGGATTTAGTTTGTCAGAGATACCAGATCATTAACTTTTTGGCGCCATCATCTCGATAAATTCTGAAAAACAATGTTGGTTTATTAATAGCATTTCAAATGTCCTTTCCGAAACAATTTTTAATCAAAATCATAACTTTGGAATTTTATTACATTTTCTTTCGACAATCGATCAAAACTACGGATAAAACATCTTTGTAATACCATAAATTCAAGGAATTATATTTGAAACAATAAGAATGTTACTTATAGTTGTCCACCGAAAGTAATCCTCTTTTTAGTATGTAATTTTTCATATCAATCTAATTTTCAATTTATATCTATTTTTTCCATTTGTTTTCTTCGATACATTTTGTTCCTGTCTCCAAATAAACTGTTTGACTTTACAGACAACCAATATCAACTTATTCGTAAATTGTTATGCTATAACAAAAATATGAACTTACCATCGATGCTGATTTGTCCATCACCATCGACGTCAGCCATTTTCATCATTTCATTAACTTCCTCATCCGTTAGTTTTTCTCCTAAATTTAACATTGCGTGTTTGAGTTCATCTCCACTGATAAAACCATTACCGTCTGTATCAAATACTGTAAAGGCTTCTCTTAATCCTTCGTCATTATCCTTCTTTTTATTGGCCATCATGATGAGGAATTCCGGAAATTCAATTGTACCATTTCCTAAAATAAAATAGCTTTTGATGATATGTGAATCTTCATGTGTAGTTGTTAATGTTTATTCAATATATCCTGTTGTAAATATGCAGTATTCGCACATGCTGTTATTTCTTTTTATGTCAAAGACAAAAAAAAATTATGTATGATAGGATTTGTACGCAAATTTGAAATCCTCGGTTCCTAACATTGCTTATACACAACAAACATTTCGAAAATGTAAGAACACAGACAAGTGAATAATGCCTGTCATTGTAAATTTAGAATTGGATACAATACTGTTAAACAATTTATTGAACTGCATCATACAGCTGCTTCGTCCTTCTATGACATATTTTTGAATAAATAATAATGAAGAAGAACATATTGAATCACAGATTGAAATCATATGTCTTCGGACTTAGAGTGTAAGTATGCCGATACGATGGTATTCTTGTCTATAGAACTAACGTGATGCTTGGTATTGTTATTTTACCATTTACTGATTGTTTATTCATTATCTAGTTTTGAAATACATTAGTTGCGTTATCAGCAGAAATAAATTATCATTTTTATAATCACCAGCTAGGTTATCGTATTGAGTTTGTGAAAAAAGAAACCTCATGAGCCCGAACAGTCCTAAGTAAACTATTTTTAATCTCAAAACATGGTTTACCATCCAGGTCCGCGTCGTTAATCATGTCTTGTAAATCGGCTTCTGTCGGGTTCTGACCTAGTGACCTCATCACTGTCCCCAGCTCTTTGGTTGTTATGGTACCATCGCCATCCTTATCAAACAGGCTGAACGCCTCTTTAAATTCTTAGATAAGGATACATATAGTTAATATTCATTCAAATGCAACAACACTTACTAAAGGAATAATAACAAAAATGCATAGATAGAAAAATCACTGATTAATTTCCTATGAAATCGAGCTGATTGTAAAGTATCACGACATCAGTGATTCGATGCCTGGACAGGAATAAAATAATTTTGTCCTTTGGCCAAAAATGGATGCAATTACTAAACACGATGAATCACGACTTTAAGCATAGATATATTTTTAAATTGAAGATTATTTCACATATTGTACAGTTTGATGATTATCTTCAACTTGAATTACCGTTGTTTTGTTTTTTAAAAAACCTTTATTTTAAATATATAAACAACCTTTGTCTCAGAAAATATATGCTGAAATACATCATTGTGCAATTCACGATTGTCCTCTTTTTGAAACATTAACGACGGCTCTTCCTCGGTGCGTTCAACTGAATAAACATTATTCATCATATATAGTACAGCAAAATGGTAACAGCATACTGTAATGTTTTGTTACCTTTATATAGTTACATGTGATGAATATTGATTGATATGATGCATATATTTTCACAGTGTCCTCCGAAATAAAATTAGGACATTTCTTCCCAAGTGTACATTTCCGATTAATGTATATGAATGATGCAAATATCTTAAGTGGTTATTTCCTTCATTTTTTTCATCGCAACAACGAATTGGGATGTCGTCAAAATGTGGTAAAAGGGATGCATGTTGAAAAGTGTTCTTGAGTCAATTGATATCCAGTAATGTGTTTTTATCATAAGTTGTTTTTATGTAGATTCGCGAAACGAGGGATTAACCTAAAGATACAAGTGTGTCTGTCATAAAATATATAAGTGTGTGCTTTATATTGGATTAATACTCTTTCTGATGGAAATTATCTCTGTCACCATCTAAACATTGTTTACTGAATTAAGCGTATTTTGATTTAACATCAGGAAGTAATTCCATCCTCTGAAAAATTCCGAACTACAGCCACGATAGAGATCAACATGAATACTGAGAATACGCGCTGTTCTTGGAAATTACAGAAACTATCATTTTTTCAGAATGATAATAAATCTTGGTTTATATGTATGATTCTCTTAATGCATTTTGTATCAGCTGGCCCACTTTTTTTTGTTCGTGAATAAATTGGTATTCACTTATTCAGTCTGTTTTGAACCTTTGAAGCTTTGATTAAACCTCCTTTTACTAGCTTGACTGTCTACTAGTATACATTTTAAAAATTGTTCTTTGCATTTAAATTAGAACATAATATAAAACAAATAATCCCGAGTTATCTCTGTCTTATAAGTGACTGTCCAATATAAGACAGCCATATAAAAAAGGTATAGGTAACATGCTTGGTTATAGTATAAAAAGAACGATGGATGTCATCGCAACCATATTTTAACGATTCAATTATTAGTTCACTCTAGGAAAGGTCTAATCCCTATCATTCCTTTTTCGTGTGACAAAAGACATAATATTGAAATTTCAATAAAAACCACCTGTTACTAGGAATAGTATCCTGGAAGGTTTCTGTTATGCATTCCGCCCATGCCTTAACCCTGTCTATACTTTACACTATCATACTCCCTACCTCCGTCAAAATCCTGCCTGTATTCTACCCCTATCGGTTTTTATCTCTGCCTAAACCCTGCCTATACTCTCAATTATCACGCCTTCTACCGCTGTCCTTAGCCTGTTTGTATGCTGAACTCCAATACTTTCTTCCTCTGTCATAACTCTGTCTTTATTCTCCACTGTGATACTCCCTCTCTCTGTCCTAGCACTTTCATATGTCTTACGTCTGTCCTAAGCCTGACTGTAATCTCCAAGATCATCTTTCCTATCTTTATCCTAACTCTGCCTTAATTGAGTCATACATGCTATTACTGCCCATCCCCACCTATCTGTTCAATTGCCAGCATGTGTAATTCGCCCTACATCTGTCCTTTTGAATGGATAGAAGAAAGTTGTGAGGCAAGTTTACTGTCAAATCATATAGTTTCGTGGGACCCATTTTTTGTGGATAATAACATACCTGCTATCTTTTCCTCTGAGAGATGCTCTGCCTGATAAATAAAGGTGATACAAACATATAAATAACATACCGTCTTCACATTATATCCATTTCATTAACAGTTCTTTATTATTTTATTGTCCGTTTATCCAATCTGTATTCCTTCGTCTATACATGCAATAGGTGTTCAATACTATTATGAAACTATTTAAATATAGTACAAGAGGATTTCAATTGTAATTTAGAATCGTCCATTCATTTTGCATGACTTGATCATTCAGGGGTAGTGAGGCAGTTCTATGATAAGATTATCGTTTGGCAGGTAGTATACGTAAGCACCGCCTGGTAAACACAAGTATGAGGTGGTTTCCAATAAAGATGTCATTGATTAATGGAAAAATTTCTTAAAGAAGATCATTCTTGTTTTTATATACAGCTTTAACTACACCAAATTTCACAATATGCATGGTATGTGACCTAGGAGAGCAATCATTTGTCACATCAACGTAGGTTTTCAAACAAAAGTCCTAAACTATAACAAATGATTAAAACATGTTTCGTATGTTTTACATTTGTTCAAAATATAAACCATAAACCATTTAATTAACATACAAATTGAATTATTATCTATTATTTTCGCTAAAATCTCTGTAGTTTAAATACTTAAATAAATTCATGATTTGCAAATACTTTACTAGTTGCTACTACTAAATACTATTTGGTTTAAAATAGCTCTATTCTCAATACCGGTTTGTATCAAAATGATGAATTATATACCACTCAAGTGTAAATAAAATACGTACCATGTTGTCGTGAAGAAATTGTCTAGTAAACCCGCAGGTGGAGACAACTGTAATATGTTGTTTGTGTGTCGCATGTGTGTGTATTGTTAGGAATTGAATACGTAGTGGTTAAGTTTCAACAATGTGGGATCAAACCATTGTTTTAGAAACACGTAAGCAATCCATTGTTAAAGGGAATGGTGGGTACAAAATGTGTATCAGAATGTCGCATTGCGGCATATCACCTAGGTAATCTTAAATCCTTAATTAACGAGATTAATAACTGTCTTTTTAGATGATATTAACCAATCACGAATGATTAGATATTTAATAACAACGATAACATATATGTAAATAGAAATATAAGAGACGAGTAAATGTTGATGATATTATAAATAATAAACACATACCATATGAATAACGCGGTTTAACTATAACTTATTCTATTTTAAGGATGTCTCTTCTAATATCTTGTCATGCGTATCTTGTACAATGGGTTAAGGTTCTATATAATTATTACGATTCAGTAATGCATCTCAAAATGTATCTGATGATGGATATGCTGATACCAAGTAAAAACCAAAGCTACAATTTTATAATGACGCTAGAGATAAAAAGTCAAAAGTCTCGAAACACAAAGGAAGTGAGTAATTTAAAAATGTTAAACAAATACTAAAAATATACAAGGTTTAATTAAACCGCCGTCTATCAGTCTCAGATGACCAAATTCTTTGTTACTGATGAAGCCTAATAATACCATATCTTATCTAGATTAAAGTTTTAAATTGTATATCAAACGGCATGTCCATTTGCAAGTATTGGGCAACAAAACCAACATCTATTTCAAATTATTGTTTCTTTTTAATGTCGCCTGGGCTTTGATCTAATCGGTAATGCAGTTTTACTATAACATAACGACAACGTCACTATCCGTTATGAATTACACAAATCTCTGCTAATGATACAGTCACGTGCCAAAAGTTTTTTTACTATATATTCGTATATTTCTTCTTTTTCCATGAATTTTCTTTTTCGTTTAAGGTTGGATTTTCACAATATATTGTCATGTTGTACTATGATCGCCATAGTTTGTTCTGGTTTCATTAATTTCTTTGTGTATATCAGGAGTAATACAAAAAGTCAAACACAGCGCTATTTTCCGTCTGACGCTATTACTGTTACCAAAATGGCGCCCCGATAATCACAAGTTGTTAACAAATTATTATTTAAATGGTCATACACAATGGAAATGTTGATGTGAAGCAGAAAATAATTCTTCATAATTGTGTGAAAAATTAAGTCAGGAAAAACCATTGAAAAGAGATAGAAAATACAAAGAGTATAGAGTAAAATAAAAAAAAAAAACTCCATCAAAGGGAAAGACTTACGACATATCACTGCACAGTCGTACAGGCCTTCTCATACGTCTGGTGAATCTTGACACATTTTCAATCACTGGCAGTTGTATGTAAACATGTCTGGAAGAAAGGGACTCGGGAAGGAAGTCGCCAAGACACCGCGGAAGGTGAAGGTAATGTTTGATTCTATATGATATACTACCAAGCCTACAATCCGTCGTGTGGTTCACCAAGGTGGTTTCAAACGTATTGAGTCCTTAAAGGTTTCCCTTGATAATGTCATCCGAGGTGCCGTCACATACACTGTGACCTTTTCAGGGTCATCAAAGTTCTCCAAGGCAACAGATACGTACACCCGCAACTCGTAAAATTCCACTCAGTACACATTTAGACACTTGTGGCAAGGGACTATTCTGGGTGTACCCTTTCCATAAGATGTCCGATTCAAGTACACCAAAGAGACTATGCAAAGAGGACATGTTTGTCAATCTCTTCAAGCCGGCACTAAATGCTAATTAATTAGTGTCGTTACGCCTTAAAATGTTAATAACGTCATTATCTTCCCTTATATATTATTGTTTATATTACCAAGACATTAAAGTAATCGCCTGAAGATAGCCGAGAGCTTGAAAACGTTAGCGATAATCAAGTTTATTTGCCTTGTTGGCCTTATATGTTTACATAATATTTATATAGAATGTGAACGTGACCAAATCATAAACAAACAGCGAATGAGGTGTGGTTTTGCCATTGGAAAGCGATCGAAAGGAGCAAAGAAGGCTCTTTGTATATGCATGTGTGATGATGTTGGAAAGAATAATTATTTAATGTTTTGTAAACATTTTTCCGTGAAGAAAAGTAGTTAATCTTTTGCCGGGGTTGGCCAGAATTAAAGGCTTTTTCCCCTTGAAGTCTCTACAGTGCATGCTTGGTTAATTATCGTTATTCCAGTAGTTAACAAACGACTGAAAGGTACTATACTCATATTCAAAAAGTAGAAAAATAGAGAAAGATTTACAAACATTGATAACATATTGATATTTAAAAATAGAAGGGATCGATTAATAAAGTATATAAATAAATTTGAACAAGATTATCTTAAAAGAAAACGTCTTCATACGATTTAAAAAATAGTATAATTAGTCAAGAGAGTATCAATCATTTCCTATTTGTATCTTAATCGGTATGATCAGAAGGGTTATCTCCCTTCGTCCACAGTTGAAGATAGGAAGAATAGAGCAATTTATCTAACGTCATTTTTCTTTGGTGAGAATCTCAGGATTATGTATCAATGTGATTTGAAGCATTCTTGCGTAAAAGTTACGCTTGTATAAATGTTTTGCTTATCCCCTTGGTACAGAGGGGCGAGACCCGGTTGGGAAATGGATATTACTTTGAATGAAGCAACTGAAGCCAATGAAACTCAGATGAGCGATACAGATCATTTAGGCCTCTTCTTTAACTGTTGATGCAAATTGTTTCTATCAGAATTTGATTTATACATTCATATGACCAATCCAACGCTCTCTGCACTCCTGGATCATGTCATAACAAAATTGAAGTCACCACCGGAGTACTTTGATTTGTTCCATGAGACCAAAAACTAGCCAATTACAGGCTGATACACTTCTTTTGAAGATTACAGAAGAGAGACACCAAACTTCAAATCCAGTACAGTATACCGTTTTGCAAGCTCGTGATTCGTTTGATGTACATCAAAGGATCAAATTAATCTTTCCGTCTCATCCACAATGAGTATTGAAGATGGTTAAGAGCATATACTTTTTTTCCGGTATCGCCCAATAAGTGTACGATTTTCAAAAAGACTTGTCAAAAATATAACAATTACAAGAACTCGAAATTATGAAATAATGAATAAAATTTAATATCAATAATTGCCATTGTTAAAATAATAATAATAACATATTGACAGTGGAATATACTTTTGGTGGATTGTGTTGAGGAAGCTCTCCGAACATTGTGGATGAAAACCGTCTGATACATCAGGGTAAAAAGTGACTGGTGACGCAGACAATGATGATCTGATGTTGTGGAAGAATTTTTATTTACCTTCCCCCCACCATCATCGTCGTGAATTCTGTAAATATACATTGAAAATCACAAATGGATGTGGATATGTTTTTTTAAATTCTTGTAATATAGATAAAAACATCTAAAAACGGTCTACAAAATGATTGATCTTAATACAACTTAAAAAATATGTATCAATAGCATATAAAATTATCACAAATGATAAAATAAATATATAAATATTAACTATTTTTTCCTGGTAGGTAAAACGCACCTTCGTAATTAACTTGCCCATCCCCATCGATGTCAGCCTCTCGGATCATTTCATCCACTTCCTCATCTGTTAGTTTTTCTCCTAGATTTGTCATAACGTGTCGTAATTCAGCTGCACTGATAAAGCCATTTCCATCTTTATCAAATACTTTAAACGCTTCTCTCAACTCCTCTTCACTATCGCTATCCTTCATTTTACGGGCCATCATGGTGAGGAATTCGGGAAAATCAATTGTACCATTTCCTTGAGTAAAATTAATATTTTTGTATTCACCCATATTGGTTTACATGCAAGCTGTGAACATCACGGTTTCATTTTCATATTGACGATCAAGCTAAATTATATTAATTTCGATAGTCATTCCTGTTCCTGATAACTTTTGATGTTTACTAAATGGTCATTCTGTTGGATCTTATTCCAAATGTGCTCATGCCCTCGTTATAGCAAAACGGTCCATAAAAAATGAATAGTGTCCATTCGCTATATTTCAGAAAGACATTCGTTTATATAGGCGTAATTATCTACATTTGCTCTAATTATTCTTGGTTCTGTTGATAAAGACACTTGATAATGTCATACAAATCGATTACGAAATCAATTTTGTTAGATCAGCAAATAAAATATTGATTAACAAAATTCAAGATAATTTATCCAAACCGTTGATTATATTATTAATATAAATTGTTATATAACCTTAAGCTAATTATCAATTCCATCTTACCATCAGCGTCTACCTCGTTAATCATGTCCTGTAGTTCAGCTTCTGTCGGGTTCTGACCTAGTGACCTCATCACTGTTCCCAATTCTTTTGTTGTAATGGTACCGTCGCCATCTTTGTCGAAAAGGCTGAATGCCTCTTTGAATTCTGTAAGTTGGAATTTCGTTTAAACCAGTATCACAATACTGATAGCACACTGTTAGTAACATTTCTTTTGAATATGAATATCAGTCATATTCTTTCTCTGAAACATTCATTTCTTCTAATAAGTCAAAGTTTACGTTTAGTCCATTTTTACGAACATGTGTTGGCCGAAGTGCTTTAGGGAAAATGTATTTCAAATAACTATAAAATCTAATTTCAGTGTTGGCAATCATTTTGTTTCTTAAAAATCTGTTTCATTGTAAACAAAATCGCTCTATCACCGAGCAAACATGTCCGATATTTATTTTAGGCAGTCGAATGTACATGTTAGGTTTAAGTGAGACAATCAATGAGGTATGACCATTTTGTAAATTTGTAAATTTAACAGTAGTGTGTATTAGATTACACGTAGCATTAACCTTTGCATACGTCTCTTGATAACGTCTTGGTAGTTAGAAGGGCTCGATAGTTTAGTTAGTATATGATTGTTATGTGACGGAGGTATTTACACTCGATGACACCTGTGCTCAGTTTCATAAATTATAAATCCTAGTGAAAATGTAGCAGTACAAGCATATAACTAAAATGACGTTAAGGATTTTGAGAGTTGAATATTCTGTACTTATACTGGCGGTACGTAAATGTTGCAATAATCTAGATTTTTATACTTACAAAAAGAGTCTAAGAAAGAATTGTAAGCACAGTATTCATAATTATGAAATTGTCTCCGAGGTAGAGTGGACAGACTGGTATTTATGTATACATGTCCCAGCTGATTTGTTACTACAAGTATCATGATTTCTTGCAAAATGTCTGAAACTGACAGATAGTCTCACGACAATGAATCTTGGGAGATGTAAGGCGATGAAGATTGCGATGAAATCTTATGTTTGTCATAGTGATTGCTTTGGGAAGAATTATCTTTTGCGATTTGCCGTTGGACGTGTTGATTGTCTGATGTTTAGTTACTAGGTGCCTTGTTTTGATTTGAGAACGCGGCATTACTTACTTGAATAGACCGATTAACCAATATTTAGATGATGGGTGTCGTCGATTAAGCAGAAGGCGCTTACTCTTCCGGAACATCCGGTTTTATTCTCCTTTTATTTAGTTATTATTCTTTTCCGTTAAAATATATCATCAATTCACTGTTTATCCCTTGTCTCATATCATTTTAGCTGGAACTATTGTTCTTTTGGAATGACAATTATTTCATACATACAATGTATGTATAGTTAAAATTCATCAAGTGTTATTCATTATGTGTCTCAATAGACCTAGAAACACTAGATACTAACATGATACCACATATAATAAGGTAACGATGATCTGATGTCTCGCATTAAGACTGGCAAGAGTGGGTATAAGAAAAGAAATTTGTTAACCCCTATATTACCGCTTATGTCAAGTCCTGATTAAGACAAAACCTGATTGATATGGGCGAAATGTGTGAAATGATTAGTATAAAGAAGTAAGCGGTATAGTTAAGATCCATGTCTAAGTGGTATGGCAGATATCAATCATGAAATGTAATGATAAAGATAGAACTGTAAATGATATGGTTAGGATAAAATCATTTGAGATATGATGAAGACAAGGAATTGGTGGTATGTTTAAGATAAATCTCTGATATGGTTAAGATAAACTAAATATAAATCTTTCTGAATAATATGACTCGGATAAAACTCTAGCTGATATGATGAAGACAAAAATCTTTTTGATAGGGTTTAGAATTTCCTAAACAATATGACCAAGATAAAACTAATATTTTTAAGACAGAAATCATATTGGTATGATTAAGATATTTCTTTCTGAATTACATGGTTCAGATAAAATACTGAGAACTATGGCATATCACTAAGTGCTGTGGTTTAGTACACTGAACAGTAATAGGCGATTATATGTGTCCTTATCGTGGTTTGTTTACCTGTTTTTAAAGTCATCCATACTTCGATAATAGTATTTGCTAAGAGGATTTTCCCTCGTATAATCCCAATAAGAAAGGGACATGACTTACCAGCGATCTGTTCCTCTGTTAGTTTGTCCGCCTGAGAAACAAATCAGAACAGCTATCAGTATATCACTTTTTATACACATTTGGATATGTTGAATTCAGATACAGTTTATTGTGTTAAATATATCATATTTTACTAAAGATAATTAATTATTTTCAAACATTAGAATTTTCAAATATATCTGTCTTAGTTTTATATGTAATTGACTACGTACTTTTAAAGCTCATAGTTTTCTTTGTACAAAAGAACATCAGCGCGAAAAGTGGTAAGCAGTATTATTATAAAGACATATCAACACCAAAATTCCATATAGATTAGCGCCCAACAGTACTTTAGCATACAAATTAACATCCCAAGATACTTCGGTAATAACGTTTTAAAAAGTAGATATTTTAATGGTATGGGCAGAAATATATTTATATATATATATTTAAAATTACATAGAATCTAGTAAGTAATATCGACGGTATGGTCCAATTTTTTGATTACCATACCCGAGACAGAAACTGTCATAATGCATTTACTGGATTAAACAACCATTTTTCTTGATTTGAATCGATTAAAAAATAGAATTTATCTGACGGTTGAACAATGACATGTTAAAATGTGTTAAAATGTTGATAAACACTTTGATATGATAGCAGTATCAAATTTCATATCGAGGAAAAGGTAACATACCATTGTGTCCCAGGTACGGTCTGTAGTGTACTAGAGAAGGTGAATGGACTAAACATACGTCGCTTGTGTGTTGGACTGTATCGCTGTCCGAGGCTTGAACAAACACCGGTTTAGCTCCAAGGAATACTGGCCTTTCTATTGTATTTAAAAGTAGAATTCCTACTCAAACTTGTGAAAAAGTGTTTATCTGTATGTCGCATTGCGGCATATCACTAAGACAAACTACTGACCCTACATGACGAGGTTTAGTAGGTTTAAACGGACACTCTCTTCTTGATCTTTTAGATATTAAATATTGACACGAACATTACCTCTAGGTTTCAAGTATAAGATTTAAATATTTTTAAAAAATGTATACTTGTTTTCAATTCTTACTGATATTTCTGTGTTTTTTACATGTTTTATCTATATAATATGACCATCTGATCCTATAAACAGATGTAGATAAATGATGCATATCGATTTTCATGGACATATCCATATTACTTTATCCTTGTATATTTCACTTAATTTGTTTATGTATCACTTTCGATCAGTGCCCATATATGAAGCTACATATAGACATTTGATTGTTATGGTATGTAAATTATATTTTATCAACTTGTAAAATTATTGTACAGTGGTAGTCATAGTTTTAGCAATGTGTACAAATTATATTCCGTAAACATGTATAGACATAATTACATTGTCAAATCGAAATTATATTAAACTTGCATTAATCCAGTTTTACCGGTTTCTACATTAATTGTTATAGCTATTAAAATATGAACAGTTATAGTTATACTTTCTTGTACAAATATCATTTTCGTGAACAATTTAACTTCAATCAACTTGCATTTTGCCAGAACCGTATAGCTTGTATTATTCATGCGTCAAAATTTTCGCGATTTTCTTTTCAAATGATCGAATAATATTCTAACGAATTAAAAAAGTCGCAATTAAGGTGTAAAATGACATGTTAGTTACATTTGTCTCATTGTTTCATGGAATATATTTTTGTGACCACGTTGATGTACCACGAAATAGCGAAAATGTCATCCCCTCGAAAAGGACAAAATTTAACAATTACTGAATAAGTGTGTACTGATAGAGCTTTAAAGTGTGAATAACTTGTATCATTTTTAAACATATCGCCTTGTCCAGTTTATCATATATAGCAGATGTTTGATTGTAATGACTACAGATTATCAAACAAAGTTCAGTTGAAACCCTTTTATGCTTTTAACCGATAATGAATTTTTTGAGATTCGGAAGGAGTAATACAATAATCATACATCAGCTCAAATCAACAAAATATCACTTCAGATTAATTTTAGAGGACGAAGTAAATGATACGTACATGTACGAAAAGAATTTGTCAAATTTGTTTCTGATTGTCGTTTCGTTTTGTTTTTTTCATTCCGATAACTATATCTTTCACAATGTAGAAAAACACATTAATGACCAATTCATATCAACCCTCTTAACACAGAGTGGCCTGTTGAGAAACTAACATCATTTGGTTTCCAAGCACTATTGTGAAGTCATCGCTTTCATTTTGACAAAATGTATATTATTGTTCAAAGAACTTCATAAGATAGCACGAAGTAAACAACGACTTTAGCGTACCTACTTTTAAAAAAAGTGCATTATGTTCTAAATTTATGTTGCTATGAAACGTGATAAAAGTTAAAGTTATTTACCAAATACTGATGTAAGTGTATATCGTTTGTTGTTTTTTCTTACACGTTTTATTACAGAGTTTACACGGAATGTGACTCCTATAGGCTGCTGCTATATTTGACGGATATATGTACATGTCAGTGCAAGTATGCAGAAATAGTTCCATTTCTATCATACATAAATGACAAGACCAGTCAGGAAAAACACTCTTGTTCATGAATGACCGTCTTTTCATGTGAAATTGTCTGTTGGTGTATAACCGGGTCTTTATTCATTGTTGATTGTCCACCGCCTGTGTGTAATCGTCTGCTGGTATAAAACCGCCTGCTAACGAGTAACCATCTCTTGGTGTGGAACGTCCTGTTGGTGTGTATGCTGTGTCTTCAGATCGTAAATAACCAGTTTTTATGTAAGCATATATACATGTTATAACCGACTCCATGTAACCGCCTGTGTGGACATTTAACCGCCTCTTTCTACATGTAACCGCTTGCTTCAATGCAGCCGTTTGTTCGTACATAAAACCGTCTGAAGTAAATAAAACCCTAAGTATATCGACTTTTAAAAAATGTACATTGTATTCTAAATTTATTTTGCCATGAAGCATAATAAAGTAATGAACAACCTACTTTCATGCAACAGCCTGCTTGTGAATGTACCCACCCGCTTCCATGTAACCGCCTTGTTGTACACGTAACCACTTGCTCCCATATAAGCGCTTGTTGGTTTGTAACCACTCGAGTGAATCCCTTTCGGTATAAAGACAAATTATCAAAAAGGAAATCATACTTGTATGTTTTTTAAATTCAAATAGCCTATATATATTAAATAAAAGTTTTGTAACCCATGCTTGATTGAATAATTTATTGTATATATTCCCTCGAAATTCTAAAGAATTCTGGCACTAGCCAAAAGATGGTGGCTATCTGTCCTGTTGAGGCCAATTATTGGCATCGACAATGGAGAAATTCATCATAACAAACTGCTCAAATGTGCCACCAAATTATGAAGTTGAAAGTTTGATAATGATTTGTGACATATTCCGATTCACTTTTCTTCAGGTGAGTAACGACAATATCCGTTACAGTTCAGAAGGTGATATTCGCCATCCAGGGATCAAATGCAATTTCGATATCACAACTTCGGATGATTCTCCCATCATGATCTGTTGTCAATGCTATTCCATGATCTCCATTGTTTTATCAATCTACTTTCGTGAGCAAATACCTTTGCCATCCACAGATAGACAGTACTAAGTTCGCGTATGTACACTATGAATCAGGAAATCATCAATTTAGATAGATAATCAAGGCATTAAGCCTTTTAACTCTTCATATGCCTCGACTTACATCTTGTCTGGAGTAGATAAAGCTTCAACGGTATTAATGGTTGTAAGGAGCGTTTTTGGTTGGCTAGGAACATGTTCGAACTAGACTGTGAAGCTCTTACTTTCCTTGTTATTACGATAATAACATCAACATAAAACTAAAAGTAAGTTTAGGATGGGAGAAAGTATGCTTGGTTTTTATGTGTATACTCGAGATCAGATCATGAAGTTTGTCGTTTTAACACGAGACGAACCATAAACCCATAATCAAATATCCTGTACATGCAAAAAACAAGCATTTCGTCTCGTGTTTAAAACCAAACGTATAAACCATATGGTGGGATAGAACAGTACATTACATTATTTTTTCCAAAAAGAACCTAAGAGGTATGAAATGACCAAATATGTACTTTTGGTGATGAAATCAATTTTGCTTTCCAAAGGATATTACAATGGTGTTTGCCCACTCTTAATGTCTACCGTATATCCGGGATAAGAATCTCAGTTATAAATAGGTGGGTTTTTTTCTGTTGCACTCAAAACTGTTAGAGACATCGATGATTCTTAACCGTAGGATGCGTTGTCTTACTTACAAGTGTTATGATTTCACTTGTATATCTCAAAATATACAAAAGCATTAATGAAGTAAACATAAAATTAATTTCAGAATATTGTAATGCATTTCAAATCTGTTTTATTTTTCAATTAATATCTAACCAGTAATTGGATAATTAGTATGATTCATAATGTTTTACAGATTTGTTTATTTCAACAACATTTTCCCCAGTAACAAACATAGAAACTGCCGCCGGTTCATAGAATTGTAATTTAGGAACATTTTAAGAAATAAAATTAATCAATGATGATCTTTGTAGGTTAATAAGATAAACTATCATTTCTTACATTAGATTAATTACCATTTTAAACTAAAATATTGATTTGAATTAATCTAATTAGAATTTTCATAATGATGACATCCTATTTGTACAAAAAAAATACTCGTATGACGAAGTGCAATTTGAATCAAAACGGCACATCCAGGAAAGCTTTAACATAAGTTACGTGTTGAATTTTATTTGCTACACTACATTAGATCATATATGTAAATAGATACCATATCAACAATGAAAATCCTTTCTCGGTAGAGTAGGGAAATGAGATGACACTTCAGTAAATAACACAGTGGTTTCTTATCTTTATACGTAAAAAACATAAGTATATATCTATTTGTAAACTTATGTACATTCCACTAAAGTAACGGTAAAGTAAATTTAAAACATGACTCATATAAAACAGAATTGCACCAATAAATAAATATAAAAATAGAAGATGTCAGGTCCTGTCTATTGATTGTAGAGATACATTCGCCTACGATCCAACCATCATTTCGATGAATTCTGGTAAAAGACATAATATTAGAATAAGTTTACACATTATTTATTATATTTCTATATCATACTATATTTTGTAGTATTTGTGCATTTTAAAAGAAAAAATATTTAAACGATGTCTTATTGGCTGCACATATTATTATGTTAAGTTTAACAAATGTCCTTACCAGAGCTTGAGTTTCATATGAGTTTTTTGTGAAATAAGCCAAATAATTGTTCATTTCAACAAACGGAACATTAATCTCATATAAACAGTACACAGATGTTATGTAATATTCTGTTTCTCAAATCACTTATATTCTAATAGAATTCATGATAACAGCATTTTATCAGACTGATATAAAATCTAGATTTACGATACTAGCACTATATCGCCATTATGGTAATGGCTGTTATTAAAATGATATCTCGTCAGTTATGTAATAGATATTTGATGTCAAGATCTATGTATGTTATCTTTAACAAGAGACAATTATGGCATTAACTTTACCGTCCTCGATACTCCAGGGGTTACGATCATTTTCGCTCTCTGCACTCCTGGAACATCTCATGGCGAAATTGAAGGCACAAATGAAGTAATGTGATTGGTTTCAGGAGAACAAAACTTATCAATGACAGACTGATACCCTCGTTTAGAAGATTGCAGAGGAGCAACACCGAACTTAACTTTGCACTGTTATGCAAGCTCGAGATTTGGTTGATATACAACAACAGATCACACGAGTCTTTTCGCCATGGCATGTTAAAGGGGTGCAGAGAGCAAAAGTGATCGTAACGCCTGGAGTATCGAGGATGCAACTTTACATAAACTTTCATGTGTGATAGAAATGCATTCTTACATTGATCTTGGAGATGAGTAGTGAAGTAGCATCAGAAGTAAGAAATACAGTTATTCATACATACTTTCGTATTTAAGATGTCCATCGACATTGAGGCCACCGGCTTCGATAAGCTCTTCTATTTCTTCGTCTGTAAATGAGTCTTTTCCCAAATCTTGTAGGATGCGCTTAAGTTGTGTAAATGTCAAGTAACCATTTCCTTCCTTATCAAATAGTTGAAAACATTCTTTAAGCTCCTCTTCTGATGCCATTTTCTTTAACGTTGATAAAAATTCATGAAATTCAATCGAACCATCATCTACAAAAAAAGTGTTATCCTTCTTATCACTATCATTTTTTCAAATTACTGCAGATGTTTAAAATGTTGTAAACAGAGCCATGATAAACTCATAACTTAGATCTATGCAACGATATAGGAATGTGTAATGTCAGTGTAGATTCTAGTTAAAATGGAGACCTAACTGACCAGTTAGATCAGATAAGAGATTTACATATTGACAAGATAATATAAGAGATTTACATATTGACAAGATAATATAAGAGATTTACATATTGACAAGATAATATAAGAGATTTACATATTGACAAGATAATATAAGAGATTTACATATTGACAAGATAATATAAGAGATTTACATATTGACAAGATAATATAAGAGATTTACATATTGACAAGATAATATAAGAGATTTACATATCGACAAGAATTTATTTATTATAGAAAAAAACTATATTGATGTATTATTCATGCATTTATAATAAAAAGAAGAAAACAGGCAAATTTGGCTATTTGATAGAGTCCCTAGATTCGTAAAGTTTAGATACGCGCAAAAAATCCCGATGTATGATTTTTGCATTTAATACTGAAATAGTATGAATAAAGCACCGACTAGGACGTTCATAGTGATAAAGATTTTGGTAATATAGAGAGGAGGCGATTACACAAACGAATAAACTATTTCCTCATATATACATTTGGTATCATCGAAAGCATTATAAAAAATAGCATCAATTTTAACAAAATAATAATGACTTGAACAAGCCATCATACATATTTTTATCATTTTTTCATTTTCCTTTTTTTATTTATTTATTTTGTTGTTTTTGTTTTCGTGGGTTTTTTTTTTATAGAAATGAACAAAAAGAACTTTTTATATGTATTTAAGGTTGTCTAAAAAATGTACGTTAAGTGATAATAATTAAATTAAATGTTGATGAAGCAACTGTATTTCTTGTTATTTTTATGACATTGACTGTTATCAAGTTATAAAGTTTCTCGCGAAAAGTGCTGTTCTCTCTTCGGCGTTATCCCCACGTACAAACGTAGTAAATACCTTAGAGTGGAGGTAAATCATAATGTTGATATAAAGAATTACAAATTCAATCGACTCTCTGACTTGTTCATTGCTTTCTGGTATCATTATTTAAGATAGTACAAGCCCGGCAAGAAGGAAATAGTGATGTGCTCCAAACGATTTTCTTATTAAATATTTGTAACCAACATCTTACTGTTTATGTCCATTTTTTCAAGTTCCTCCTTCAGTTCTTCCGCAGATGGACATTGTCCCAGGTCTGTCATAACTGTCATCATCTCATCAATGGTGATGCTGCCACTGTTATCTGTGTCAAACATCGCGAATGCTGCTTTATATTCTACAACCACAGATATGTCAATGATAATGTTTCCTGGTTCAAAACAGGGATATAATGTGATGGATATGAATTGTTAATACAAGAACCTAATTGTTATTATCCTGACGAAACATACAAATCAGGACTATTATTACACATAATATGTAGCATTGTGGCAACTAATGAAACTGTGCCAATATATAGACAACATGAAGAACCCAACACAAAATATATCAACTAACGAAAACACTAATCAATTTTTTTCAGCTGTATATTGTCGACAATATTTGTGACAAAAGCTCAACATATCCAATCGCTTGCAAAAAGGGCAATGGATATAAGAATAATGTACGCACACGTATAAGCACAAATTGTATCATCTATTTTATTTATGGATATGAAATATTTGGCAGGTTTTATATATAAATATACTTACTTTGTCGATTGTAAGAATGATTATGATAATATCTGAAGTATTCAATATACCATGTACAATTCATGCTGCAATATCCCTATTTACATTTTATATTATCTAAGTCAACAAGAATATACTTGCCTTCTAGCTGTTCTTCAGTAAATTCGACTTCCTACATATCGAAAAATAAAATTGTTGTATAGTTATGTAAAGGTAATAAGTTTATGACTTGAAAATATCCCAATGTGAATTACAAAAGACCTATATAATATGAGGCATCTCTTCTAAATATATCGTGATACAAAAATGATTGATAGAATATTTAACATGTCTAATCATTGATAAATTTTGTTTTGAAATCATATTTGATCATTTCAAATCAATTCAAAATTAAGAAAATGACATTACTTACAAACGATTCAGGTCGGAAGCAATATTTGTTAACAGGCGACGGTGTTTTGTGCCCATGCGCTATCATATAAGGCGCAATTTTTTTACATGTCTAGACTGTTGATCAACAAATCAGGATTTTTTATAACTGTTGATTAACCTCTTTATGTGCATATTTCAGCCAAAACCGCCACTGTTCATAAGGTGATGCACTTGATATATGAATAAATGCAATGATAAAAAATATTAGCTAAAAATCGCTTTAACGTGATGTCGCTGTAAAATTTGTTTTGTGATTGACCTATCTACCTTCATGATGAAAAATCTAACATATAGTACCTACACTATGTTGGACTTACCTCCCTTTGTAATAAACACAACCTTATATGTTGTTATTACTTTGTTTTGATTTTTTAAAATCTATATTAATCTACCCAATGGCATTTTCATCACCGTCAATTTTTCAGAAGCATGCGTACACTCACTGATTGTGATGTCAATTGATAACTGAACATAATCATTTGAGGGCCTTAAACAGCTTGTCAGAATGCTTAACACGCGCATTCATGTATAACATTGTTACTGAACCAAATTGTGAAAATATTGATTTGATGAAACTAGAAACTATGATGTCTGGAAATCGATCAATGCCAATTTCAAAGGGGACAATGGAGTGACTCCCTTTTGAAGAAAAGGCCAGTCATGTAGTTTCTATACGTGTAGTGGGTAAACAAATACACTTAGTCATCTGTCTATAAAATCGATACCTATCACATGGAGCTGTAACATTAGATACAGTTACAGTATTAGCATGATATTTAATCCATTTGTTTGTTATACCAATCGTCATCGTTTGCTCTTATTAAAGAAAATATGCGAAGACAATTTGTCTTTAGTTCTGTTATATCATGCAGTAATTCATGAAGACTGCTCATTGCCAGAAATATTAGACGTCATTAAATATTAATTCCTAGTATTGTTGTGATGTTGACTTTTTTAACGTCAAAATACACTGATCGATATGAATTATTGATATGAATCGTTTAACAAGGGTATTTACTAATGAATACATAAATAGCTTTACTAAAAAAACAAAATAATCAACACCAAATACAACAAAGCTATCTGATGTCTCATTTCTAATGTCCGGCTTGTGAATACAATAAAATACCTGACTCGTTTAAGTATTAAAGATTTGTTTTTCACATTTAAAGGTCAATATAATAAAAATCAAACCAGATGTTATACATACCATTTCTCCAGTGGAATATCTCTATATCAGTCCAATTCACTGACGTTGTTTACTGTAGTTCTCACTACGTGATATGCTTCTGTGGTCACATCAATAAACCATCAACGTTGCCACAGGTTATCGACACAAAGTGACGGGGTCTTATTGTTACTGGATATTTTAGCTATGACAAGTTTTCTGGCTTAATTATATATAGCAGAGATGTAGGACACACTAGATCGTTCGCACTTTCTAAGACTCTCTGCGCTGTGGGAAATATCCTCCTGCTCGCGTTGAAAGATCAATACTACATAACAGAATGTGTCACATGCAAACGAAGCTTTCATTTTAGTTAATTTACTACATATATTTGAGCCAGGTTTCAAAATCTTAGCACAGAATCCTAATTGTAAAACTGTATCTACAACCAAATGACTAGACACGTCTAAATTTGATGCCTTCCTATTAGTTAATAACGACAAATTACCAACATTATCATCATCCAAACTGAAATTCAATACTACCAGGCACCCGCCATGAAATCTTATTCGATTCATGTAAGTAGTGTCTTGTTCTCAAATGAGAACAAGGTATATAACAAATGCAACAGGCAAACAAACGACTTCTTGAACGAAAATCGTGATTATGGGAACAGCTCAGTGAATATCGAATCAACTGCAACATGTAAACACCATAGGTGAGGGTTGCAGGAACGTTGCTCTCCAGAAATGGAAAATTCACGATAGGGAAATCGAAATCATCACGTCGATCATTCAGCTTTGTGGTAAACTGTCCGTGTTGGTTTCATTGTCGGGAAAGATCGAGATAGGGGGCTGGTGTAGATGAGACTGTTGTGTCGTTTATTTTTAATTCAGGTGGATGCATATGATAGACGTGGTCAGCAAGTATCTTGTTAGATAGAGACAAGATGTCATCAATATAGCTGAAAGTGAAATAAAATGGCATTGGAAGGTCTGGTCACCTGTTTTGATAAGCTCTTTGATAAATCCAGCATTGTATGAAAATAAAATACAGTGAAACTCAATAATTTTCTATAGGTATGTTAATACCCTGTTGGAAGAGCTTACCACCAAACTCGACGAAGATGTTGTCAACCAGAAACTCGGTCATTTTATGATTTCTTAATTTTTGTTTACTTTGGTGTATTTTTCATGAAGTACATTTCAGTATAGTTCACAACCATATATTTTTACTCAAAACAAGTATTAAATTTCTATTGTAATCAAGTTTTCTTGGCTCCTGAGGTGGACGTGTCTTTTCAAATTGTTCCAACCTTTTGATGAGATGGTACACATATATTAGTATATTCAATATCTGTTAACATTTGCAGCTATGTTTTATGTTGATAAATATCCGCTTATATGATCAAATACGTCAGGAAAATAAAGATTTAAGTTTGATATTTTTCTACACATTAGGAGAATTTCCTTTAATCAGGTAGATATATTTCGAAGCTTCAATAAATATTTCTTGTTTTGGAGAGTCTTTCGAAGTAGTACCAAGTCACAAGTCAGTTCTTTGCCCTGAAAATACCACCAAAGTTGAAAGTCTTCACTAATTTATTTAGTTTATTGTCAACGAAAACCAGAAATAATGGTTGCTGTTACGTATCTTTTTAAGGCTCGTGGTGTTCTATTTTTGACACTGTTTGACGCATTGAGTTGTATAGAGCTTTGTAATGCTTTTCTCTGATTTTCGCACTCCATTCTTTCGGTTACTAATTTAACTGATACTGTTCTATTTCACTTCAGTAAACAATAAAAATACACGTATCTTGGTTTAATAAACAGAAAATGACTTTGACAATGATTATGAATAAAAAAAACATTTGCAGACTATTTAGCCGATGATATTGTTGTCCTTGCAAGAACACATTATACAAAGATCCATCATTTCTTTTCCATCATCATCGTGACGAACTCTGAAAAGAAACAATACAAAGCATAACATTGATATCAAATACTGTAATATCATCAGAGTTCGTGGGAATATATTTTCTTTGGTTTCGTACGCACTCTAGATCCACGAATTCACATGTTCACAGTTAAGATCAGTATAATCAGATTAATTTAGCTATACATATCCATGAAAAAAAATAAACCACGAAATATGTGCTTCCTGAAAATACATGATATAGTATAGCCGAATATTTATTGAATTTTCATTGACCTACATTGTAGATGTTATTTTATTGGAAAATATTAAGCACTACCATTTCATCTCTTTTCCTAAAAGAGAACTCCGTATGACTAGCACAAATTGCAAGATGATGAGAGACAATTTTTTGTCAATCAATACATGATTTTGTGCACCTACGACAATATTTATATTGACGTCGCCCACATTGTTTAGTTTAATAAAGTAAATAAATCAACGTGATGATGAACCATTGATGTTGTAGAACTGAAGCAAACTAGCAGATTTGAAAAATATACATTTTCTGGGTGCATTAAAGTTTCGATTTTTTTATGGGCTACCTAAAACGTGAAACATTCTGTTACCTATTTCCGTCATAACTACCTTTTAATATCTCTAAAGATCAACTTTCGGGAGACAAAAGATACATTCAATGTCAGAATAACTCTTTCCTCACTGTTTATATACCTTCGTAATTCACTTGGCCGTCTCCATCTATATCAGCCTCTCGGATCATCTCATCAACTTCAGTATCTGTTAGCTTTTCGCCAAGATTTGTCATCACGTGACGTAGTTCTGCCGCGCTGATGCAACCATTTCCATCCTTGTCGAATACTCGGAATGCCTCGCGTATCTCTTCGTTAGACTCGGTACTTTTCATCTTCCGTGCCATCATCAAGAGGAATTCTGGGAAATCTACCGTTCCGCTTCCTTTAAAATGTAATGGACTATTCTATTTTACATGAAATACGAAAATGCTATCAGTTTCAACAAAATCCCATTAATCATGATCCTTATCAAAATGTTAAGGTTTTAAATCAAATATCTAAAGATGTATCTTTTTAAGGACGGTAAACAATTCAGACATCATATACTTAAAGTATACCAAACTTAATTAGGACCTCGCGTTCCAAATACCTACCATCTGTATCCACCTCGTTGATCATGTCCTGTACCTCAGCTTCTGTTGGGTTTTGACCAAGTGATCTCATCACTGTCCCCAACTCTTTGGTTGTGATAATTCCATTACAGTCCTTATCAAACAGACTGAATGCCTCCTTGAACTCTTAAAAAATTAAATGAAAGTACTGTTAGAAATGTGTATCGTAAGTTTTATAAAACCTCATAACCTTACCAAGTTCCCATCACGTTCAGACATGACCATATTACTAGACATAATGATCTCGAAAATGAATATTTGCGTAAGTAAAAAGACCATAGTTTTAACAATATTTATTTCTCAAAATGTCTATTTCGCGAGAAATTCACAAAGTAATTATTTACAGAGTTTTCGACCAATTTCTCAAATAAGTACCATATCTGTATTGCAACAGGCATTGCAGAAATAGCCGATCGGTAAAACGAATATATTTCTCGCGTGTGTTTGAGTGTCACATATATTTTATTGATTGGTTACAGTTCACGACCTTTACGTGAACTTTGACCTATGTCATTCTGGTTGATGATATTGTCGAAATTTTGAATTTGCTTAAATCTATCATGTGTAAAAAAAGTTCTAATTTTCTTAATATTGATTATGGTTATGGTAACTAATTCTTTATTAGATTTTACACCATGCTCTTAAACATGGAGCTTTTCGAATATCTTGATTAACATCTACAGCTTGAAAACTAATATGGTCAACCAGTGCACGTTCGGCGACATATCTATTATATAGAGACAAAACACAATATGGGTGGTTTAGAAAATCGATATTAAACAAATAAAGGTGTGTACGTTTATAGTTTTTGAATTATAGATAGGACTGTGCATTTCACAAACCAAGTCAGGCGTGGTTCTATATATACCCCTATTATAAATAAGTTATATGTCGGTGTTTACTGGTGCGTGGAAATACACAGTGTAAACAGGTAAACAAACGTATTTATTCAGAGTGAATATTTCTAACTTAGGGGTGGAAAATAATGCACATCCCTTTCAATGAAATTTACAAAACATCTAACACGTTGTAATGATATAATCTTCCAACGTTTAATTACCTGCAATTTGTTCTTCTGTTAACTGGTCAGACTGCAAGAAAGAACACATGGTTAGCCTTAATGGATGATACCTCACCTGGATAACAGATATTAATATTGTCGAAGACAATAAGTTTTCGATATGGAAACAAAATGTGAATAATTTACAAAAAAGGCTAAAAACAAAAGTGAACAGCTATGTTTAGTACTGTTTAAGAATAAGATACAGAAGAGCACAAATTAATTGATTAAACTGTACCATACGACCGTTTCTTTCTGACTCGTCAGTAATGGTCTGAGGCGACTCATAAAAATCCCAAAGTTATCGAAAGAAATGTCAAAATCTAGATGAGAAGTTGCACAAACCCTATAGTTTAATCAATTTCGAGTTATTTTGTAAATCTGATAATTTTAAAAGAACATCAAGTAAATACGTGTATTCTGAACCCTGCCACAATTCGAGTGAGTTAAAATGGCATACCTCTGGGACAAAACTCTACCAACGGTATCTACTACATGTGATCTCGAATATTGTACAAAAGACTCACAAGTGAATAACTCTCTTCAGCGTATTCATTTACGTACGTATAAACACACAATATAAGAAAACTGATCTGTCAGATATTGACACTATCTTGTTGTCTGAAAAATGAAGTATGTAATTTGTTTGCTTTTTTTTAATTCCAATACCAGTGTGGGGGTTTAAGGACAGTAAAAAGTTTAATATACTAATGTTTCTATTTAATTGATCGTTTAACATTTTTAAAAACCAGTCCTATCAACAAAATACTTGGTATTCTTGATTCATATTGTAACATTTGCAATATCTATTTCATTTAAATCTTGTGTAAATACCGACTCAATATATCGATCGCCTTCCAATTAAGACTACAAAACAATATCTGTATGTATCTTTATATTGTTTATTTCATAATTAAGACAACGTTACTGACGAGATTGGTATTATATCATTGTACATATACGATTGGCCAGTCACAAGGTGACCTACATTATGATGACTTATGGTTCTCTGCGACGTGGCAGATCACGTCACTGCATTTAATTGTTAAATCGGTTAGGTTTTGATTTCTTTCGTTTGCCTTGTTCATCGCCCAGTCAACAGCGAGGGTCACTAAGATGCAGTATCTTTTTATTAGATGGTGGTTACCTCACTGAACACTATGCGGGCGTCCCGTCGCGTGTCATTCAGAACAAATGTGGTACAGTGTCTTGTTCAGAACCACGTCAGAACAACCAGTTGAATGGTCGGATGTGATTCCCGGGCGAGCGTACACAGGTAAGCGGGTCACCTATCCGACCACGTGGGTTTTCCCTGGTACTCGGTTTCTCCCGTAATAACACCCCTCGCGCGCTTACATCCGGGCCAATAAGAGTGATCAGTATAAATTGAAAAATACTGTTTCTAAATTGTTGTAAAATATGTAAAGTTTATATTTATCTACCGGTCAATTTCACAGTTTCCGGAGAAATTCAAACCGCCAAATTATGACGCGTTGAACAACACATTTTCCAATTGACCTATTCAATACAAATGCACAAGTGCATAAGTGCGTTTATTGTCTTCTAATAATTCGCACTATAAGCAAATGACAGAATTCTTCTTTAGTAATCATAAACCAGACAACCTCGCTATTCAAATCGCTTTATATCATGAAGTCTTTAAGATGAAGTTACGCTTTATATAATCCTAAACGACCCCGTTTCAGTTGCCAGTGTTAATATTGATTTAATTGTCGTACGCTAACATATAATGCTTCCTTTTAACATGCACGTAGTTACTCGAGGATAAACACACTGTTTAATTGATCTGATGTCCGGTGCTTTGTACATCAGAATGTTGACGTTTTATTTCAATACCCCGTGGAGTACAACTGACACTGACATTAATAATTCAAAATCTATCTCTTCATCAAATTATATGTACTCTGAATAACAGGAGTGTATGACCATTGTACAGCATATCAAGTAAAATAAAAAATAGCCTAGTCAGACAGAATTAAATTTGTTTCTATACCATAAATGGTAAATGTCGAACATTTGGTTATTGGTGGTAATAGTGAAAAACTAAATATATTCCCACTGTAACAACAAGACATATAGATACATATGTACTACGGTTGTATGAAAACACATACTTGCCATGGGTATGACAAAACTAGACACAAAACAGCTTCTGTATATCTGAATATCAGACATAGCTAGGATTTGAATATGGCAAACTAGGGGAAGCTAGCCTTTGTTTACAGGATATAACGGGGCACAACTAAAGGTTAGTCATAGTGGACATATGGAAACTAGGCGCAGCTAGTGGTGGACATATGGAAACTAGACACAGCTAGTGGTGGTGGACATATGGAAACTAGGCGCAGCTACAGGTGGACATATGGAAACTAGACACAGCTCGTGATTGACATATGGAAACTAGACACATCTTGTTGTGGTGGACATATGGAAACTAGGCGCAGCTAGTGGTGGACATATGGAAACTAGACACATCTTGTTGTGGTGGACATATGGAAACTAGGCGCAGCTAGTGGTAGACATATGGAAACTAGACACAGCTCGTGATTGACATATGGAAACTAGATACAACTAATGTTAGACATATGGACATAAAAACCAGTCCTATCAACAAAATACTTGGTATTCTTGATTCATATTGTAACATTTGCAATATCTATTTCATTTAAATCTTGTGTAAATACCGACTCAATATATCGATCGCCTTCCAATTAAGACTACAAAACAATATCTGTATGTATCTTTATATTGTTTATTTCATAATTAAGACAACGTTACTGACGAGATTGGTATTATATCATTGTACATATACGATTGGCCAGTCACAAGGTGACCTACATTATGATGACTTATGGTTCTCTGCGACGTGGCAGATCACGTCACTGCATTTAATTGTTAAATCGGTTAGGTTTTGATTTCTTTCGTTTGCCTTGTTCATCGCCCAGTCAACAGCGAGGGTCACTAAGATGCAGTATCTTTTTATTAGATGGTGGTTACCTCACTGAACACTATGCGGGCGTCCCGTCGCGTGTCATTCAGAACAAATGTGGTACAGTGTCTTGTTCAGAACCACGTCAGAACAACCAGTTGAATGGTCGGATGTGATTCCCGGGCGAGCGTACACAGGTAAGCGGGTCACCTGTCCGACCACGTGGGTTTTCCCTGGTACTCGGTTTCTCCCGTAATAACACCCCTCGCGCGCTTACATCCGGGCCAATAAGAGTGATCAGTATAAATTGAAAAATACTGTTTCTAAATTGTTGTAAAATATGTAAAGTTTATATTTATCTACCGGTCAATTTCACAGTTTCCGGAGAAATTCAAACCGCCAAATTATGACGCGTTGAACAACACATTTTCCAATTGACCTATTCAATACAAATGCACAAGTGCATAAGTGCGTTTATTGTCTTCTAATAATTCGCACTATAAGCAAATGACAGAATTCTTCTTTAGTAATCATAAACCAGACAACCTCGCTATTCAAATCGCTTTATATCATGAAGTCTTTAAGATGAAGTTACGCTTTATATAATCCTAAACGACCCCGTTTCAGTTGCCAGTGTTAATATTGATTTAATTGTCGTACGCTAACATATAATGCTTCCTTTTAACATGCACGTAGTTACTCGAGGATAAACACACTGTTTAATTGATCTGATGTCCGGTGCTTTGTACATCAGAATGTTGACGTTTTATTTCAATACCCCGTGGAGTACAACTGACACTGACATTAATAATTCAAAATCTATCTCTTCATCAAATTATATGTACTCTGAATAACAGGAGTGTATGACCATTGTACAGCATATCAAGTAAAATAAAAAATAGCCTAGTCAGACAGAATTAAATTTGTTTCTATACCATAAATGGTAAATGTCGAACATTTGGTTATTGGTGGTAATAGTGAAAAACTAAATATATTCCCACTGTAACAACAAGACATATAGATACATATGTACTACGGTTGTATGAAAACACATACTTGCCATGGGTATGACAAAACTAGACACAAAACAGCTTCTGTATATCTGAATATCAGACATAGCTAGGATTTGAATATGGCAAACTAGGGGAAGCTAGCCTTTGTTTACAGGATATAACGGGGCACAACTAAAGGTTAGTCATAGTGGACATATGGAAACTAGACACAGCGACACAGCTAGTGGTGGACATATGGAAACTAGACACAGCTAGTGGTGGTCATATGGAAACTAGTCAGAGCTTGTTGTGGTGGACATATGGAAACTAGACACAGCTCGTGACTTGTTGACATATGGAAACTAGACACATCTTGTTGTGGTGGACATATGGAAACTAGGCGCAGCTAGTGGTGGACATATGGAAACTAGACACAGCTCTCTTGTGGTGGACATATGGTGTTGTGGTGGACATATGGACTAATGTTTGACATGGAAACTAGACACAAGTGGTGGACATAGTGGTGGACATATGGAAACTAGACACAGCTAATGGTGGACATATGGAAACTAGACACAGCTAGTGGTGGTGGACATATGGTAACTAGGCGCAGCTAGTGGTCGTGGACACATGGAAACTAGGCGTAGCTAGTGGTGGACACACGGAAACTAGACACAACAAGTGGTGGACATATGGAAACTAGACACAGCTAATGATGGACATATTGAATCTAGACATGTGGAACAGACACAGCCTGTTATGGTGGACATGAAATGGTGAACATATAGAATCTAGACACAGCTTGTTGTGGTAGACATATGGAAACTAGAAACAGCTTGTTGTGGTGGACATATGGAAACTAGACACAGCTAATGGTGGACATATGGAATCTAGACACAGCTAGCGGTGGTGGACATATGGTAACTAGGCGCAGCTAGTGGTGGTAACTGGACATAGTGGTGGACACATGGAAACTAGACACAGCTTGTTGTGGACATCTTCAAACTAGACACAACTAATGTTGGACATATGGAAACTAGACACAGCTAGTGGTGGACATATGGAAACTAGACACAACAAGTGGTGGACATATGGAAACTAGACACA